GATAGAGCCAATGCCAGCTGGCTTCAAGATGGACCTGCTGCTGGCCAAGTACGAGCACCTCAGCAACAGTCGGAGTGCCTCTGTGACAACATATCTAAGAAGGGGGGAAAAAACTTGCTGTAGAACAGCAGCCAGGAAAGAGGAGTGAGAATATGTGAGAGAAACAACTCTGCAGACACCAAGGCCAGTGAAGAAGGAGGGGGAGAAGGTGCTCCAGGCGCTGGACCAGAGATGGCCCTACAGGCCGTGGTGAAGGCCACGGTGAAGTGAGGCAGCTGTGCCCCTGAAGCCACAGAGTGTAATGGTGGAACAGAGATACACCTGCAGCCCAGAGAGGACCCCACGCTGGAGCAGATGGATGCCCAAAGGAGGCTGTGACCCCATGAAGAGCTCACGCTGAGCAGGATCCTGGCAGGACCTGTGAACTTGTAGAGAGAGATAATACCACACGAGGAAAGCAAAAGAAAGAAGAATATAACAATAAGACAAGATATAGAGTACAATGGAAACACTGATACAATGAAAATCTCACCACCACGAGCTTCACAAAAGAGACCCCTCTCCCGGCTAGCTTCCCCTTATATCCCGGGCATGACGTCAGCATGGTATTGAATATCCGGCTATGCCCAACTCCCAGCTTCTGCGAAGAATTAACCCTATCCCAGCTGGACCCAGGACAATGGACTGACCACAATCCCCATTCCCCATCCCCCTGCACTGCTGGGGGAAGGAGGTAGAGAAAATGGGAGTAAAGTTGAGCCTGGGAAGAAGAAGGGGTGGGGGGAAGGTGTTTTTAAGATCTGGGTTTTTTTACTCATTACCCTACTCTGATTTGATTTGCAATAAATTAATTTCCTCAAGTCTGTTTTGCCCATGATGATAACTGGTGAGTGATCCCACCCTTCCTCATCTTGACCTATGAGCCTTTCACTATATCTTCTCTCCTCTGTCCAGCTGAGGAAGAGGAGTGATAGAACAGCTTTGGTGGGCACCTGGCATCCAGCCAGGGTCGACCCCCACACACTGTGAACAGGACTCCCATATATTCATTACTCCGTGCTTCATTAAAGAAGTACATTGCACCCCTGGTTGTTCAAGGCTCCCATTGCTTCTTTCTAGGGTGGATGGCCAGAGGCAACAAAATAGTGGCTGTCTTTTGGCTTGCTGCTTTTATCAACCCATTAAGCGATCCTGGATATTCATGACCTTCCTCATCCAAAAGTGGATAGTTCCAGGGAGAAACTTTCTAGAGTGGAGTGGAAATAGCCATCTTTCCTTGCACAAGCATTATCTAAGCAACCCATGCATAGCTTTTGACACTTAAATTTTCACTCTAGTATCTTTTTTTTTTATATCACAAAAAAGGGAAAGATCAACAAAGGACACAGGTTTCAGCAATTTTCAGCAGTTACCAAAGTGCATAAACACACGAACTCGCTTTGATTAGAGACAGGCAGAGACCAAAGCCTACTGAGTGCAGTACAGCCTGCAACTGCCCACTTTGATCAATTTATCGTATATCATTTAACGAATCACTCTAAAGTAGCACGTCATTGCTGATACTTTGGGACCATTTATTACTCTTTTGCTACTGCAAGCTGCTAAAATGTCCTCTGTACCCATTCAGCGATAATAACACACACTTCCACACTGTTTCTCTGTCCCAGACTTGCCATCCCTAGCAACAAAACTCAGCAATGGAAACTGATAGCAACAGCTTCTGGCACTGGATTTTAAAAATAAACTAAACTGCTTTCCAATTTACCTATTTTCTCCTGTCTTTAGGCTAATTGTATTAACATGATAAGAAGTCTCATGAGAACAAATTAAACCTACCTTTGATAGTAAATATAAATTTGCAGGTAAAACCTGCTTTTTCATCAGATCCAGTTTTGGGTAATTGCAGCGTTACTTTCAGAGAAGTTTAGTTCCAAATAAAATAATTAAATCTGTAAACACACTTTTAAAAAAATGAGATGCTTGGCCAGTCTCTATTTATCTGCATGATTCATTTCCTCATTTCCATACGAATTAAAATTGCCTCACATGATGGAAGTAGTAGAGTATATTCAAAATATTCCTGAAAGCAAAATCCAGAAATATCCTCACCATTAAATCCAGTTTGTGATTAATTGCCAGCGCAGAGTGTTCCAGAGCCTTGAAGACAGATGCATAGCAATCACTTAGTTTTGTGTACTTGCCAACGAGAGCTATGGAACACACCTTCAGCAACCTTTCGTATCTGACAAAAACAAGTTTTTTGGTTATTTCACCAATTTTAATAAATTAAACATTCTAATAGTGTTTGTTGCTTCCTTAAATTCACAAAACATCTTCTAGAATCTCAAAACCAACAATGCCTTTTAACCCAGACCATTCACAGGTGTTAATCAGCAGCACGCCACTGAGCCCAGCCCAGTTCAGTGATTTCACAGCAGCTAAAAACCTAACTTGAATTAAATCACTTCTAGAAATAGGAATTAGAATACCTGTCAGCCATTTTCTTCCATTTCATCAGAAGATCACTTGGCTGGTCATCAATAGGTAAATTTAACCTCTGCTTAAAATACTTAGTGATGCCTTGCTCCTCCAACAAGATTGGTACTCGATAAGTGGAAGAAACATCATGGATAAATATCACCTAACAAAAAAAAGCATAACATAAAAGGCTTACCTAAATATTTTTCATAGGAAACATATATTCTATTTTTTGAATACTACATGCATTTTGCATTCTAAATGCATCCTAATTTTAAAATATTTTAAAATATTTTTCTTTTTGAATGAGCAGGGCAGCACAGCCAATATTTAAGGTGCTACTAAACCTACAAAGAAAAAGTTACCTAAAAGGCAGAAACGTGTTTCACTTCTTCCTCACACCATCACACAAAAATAGCTTGTCAAGCCTATCACCACATCAGTTTTAATACAAACATCTGGCCCCACAAGCAGTCACACTTATTAATATTTCTTTCTCCCACCTTCACAAACTTGTAGAATATTAAATGGGAAAGAAAGAACACAAATGGAATCTAACAACACAGACCCAATCTCCTAAAATAATTTTGTTAGTGAATTAGGTTATGTAATTTACTAATGAGTATAGTCCATTCAAGGAACATTTAGTTAAGAACACATTTATACACCACATCCAAGCTGCTGGCAGTTAAGTTCATTGCACTTGGCTTACATGAGACCACAGAGTTCAGAATCCTAAGCACAAGCGTTCTCTTCCCTGATACACATGAGAAGTAAAGAATACTCAGTTATCCTTGAGTTACTTCTGTTCATCACATAAGTATGTACACATACATGCTGCCCCATGCCCCTCTACGTGCCCATTCAAAAGCAGCAAGTAATCACAGCCCTCCTGCACTGCTCTAGGTTACAGCCATGCAAACTATGGAGACTCTTATAATCCTGAAACAAGCTGACGACACTGCTTTTGTTTTGGTGACACAAACATTGAAGTGAGAAGGGAAGACTTACTTGATAAAAGCAAAATAAAATTTTAAAAAATACACTTAGAGAAAGTCTGTGGACAAAATAGCATGTAGTCTTCATGGATTAGTTATGACAGTCCTGGAAACCACTTACAGGCACACAAAAGACAAGAAAATCATCGGGGTAGTAAACACGCTTTCACCAAGGGGAGGTCATACTTGACCAATATGACAAACTTCTATGATGAACTGACTAGTCTGTCAGATGAGAGAAGAGCAATGGATATTGTCTACCTGGACTTCAGGAAGGCTTTTAACACTGTCTCATGTAAGATCCTCATAGACAACCTGTTCATGTATGTGCAGGAAGAGCAGACAGTGAGGAAAACTGCCAGAATGGACAAGCCCAGAAGTGTGATGATTAGCACCACAAAGTCTAGTTGAAAGTCAGTAACTAGTGGAGTACCCCAAAGGTCAGTACTAGGTCCAGTCCTGTTTAACATCTTCATTAATAATCTGGATGATGGGGCAGAGCATACCATCAGCAAGTTTTCAGATGACATCAAAGCGGCAGGAGTGGCTGATATGCCAGGGGGTCATACTGTCATCCTGACAACAGGCAGGAGAAATGGGCTGACAGGAACCTCATTAAGTTCAACAAGAGGAAGTGCAAAGTCCTGCGCCTGGGGAGGAACAACCCCAGGAACCAGTACATGCTGGGGGTCAGCCAGCTGGAAAGCAGCTTGGCAGAAAAGGAGCTGGGTGTCCTGGTGGACGCCAAGTTGAACACAAGCCAACATACGGTATCCTGGACTGCATTAGGAGCAGCATTCCCAGCAGGTTGAGGCAGGTGATCCTTCCCCTCTACGAAGCACTGGTGAGGCCACACCTGGAGTACTGGGTCCAGTTCTGGGCTCCCCAGTACAGGAGAGACATAGACTGGAAAGAGTCCAAGGCCCACGAAGGGCCATGCAGGTGATTAAGGGACTGGAGCATCTCTCATAAGAGGAAAGGCTGGAAAACAAAAGGCCTGGGAGTCAGGGTAGAAAATCTCATCAGTGTATAGAAATACCTGAGAGAAGGGTGCAAAGAAGACAGTGCCAGGCTCTCTTCAGTGCTGCCCAGTGACAGGACAAGAGGCAATGAGCACAAAATGAAACACAGGAGGTTCCCTCTGAACATCAGGAAACACTTTTTCACTGCAAGGGTGACCGAGCCCTGGCACAGGTTGCCCAGAGAGGCCGTGGAGTCTCCATCCTTGGAGATACTAAAAAGTTGCTTGAATAATGGTCCTGGGCAACTGGCCCTAGGTGGCCATGCTTGAGCACAGGGGTTGGACCAGATGACCTCCCTTCCAACATATTCTGATTCTATGACAGCATATAAATGGGAAAGGTGGACTGAAAAGATTGATCCCCTTTAGATCATAAACCATCGTTCTAGACACAAAATAAACTGCAGTTTCTTCTCTACTGGCATTGCACACAGCTTCGGGAACAAGACTGATGATGTATCTAATCCTTTAGTTCACAAGAAACCAAGATTGTTCTAGGGAATATATAGACATGTTGCCAGTGTCTTCCGAAATCCAGAAGTGGTTCATTAATTCTAAGGCACACAGAGGAGTAAAGAATGGCTTTGCAGAATTCTGATTAATAGTTATGAAAAGAAAAAAAGTGAGGCTGCAACACAGTATGGCACCTAGCAGCATCCCAGTTCAGTCCGCTCAGTCCAGCCATCAGGGACACACCCATACTACACAATGCAGTGCTGTGGATAGACATGTGAGCTAGCCAGAACAGCAAAAAAAGACTGCAGCACTCTGCCCAGGGTCATATAATCAGTTTTTCATGAAAGCTGTGACTGGTACTACTATTGAGCAGAACTTTGGAAAAAAAAACAGTGCCATGAAGACAGCTCCCTCCTGCCAGGGAGCTCTTAGGGAAGTTCAGTTACTCATGGGACTCTTGGTCCAGCTAGACTGGCATAACAACTGCAGTTGGAATCCAAGTACGTACATGCTTACACGTGGCCTGATGCTGCCAGAAAGGCACACACCATTTTTGTTTGATTGAACTTCCAGTTGTCTGTCTCTGGCTGGGGAGGAACCACAAAGCCATTTCTGAAGGATTTTCCAGAAGCTAGCTCAAGGGTGTTGTCTTCCACAGTTAAAGATGGAAGCAAGATGGGGGCAAGCAATGGCCACACTGCCCTCTATATCCTCATGTGGAATCCTACTATAAAAAGCTTTTTCTTACACACCCACAGAGGTAAACACTGATACACTTGACACATACAGCATAAGTGTTGGCATCTCTTACCCCTTTAATATCATCCATTACATTGAAGAGTAAAATGCTCTCACTTGCAAGAATATTAAAGAGCATCTGATTTATCAAAATTAATATTAGTAGTTTCTATGAGTAGTTGCTATACAAAGGCAAAAATCACACGTGAACTATAGAAGGATATATAACTACACAACAGATGTTCTAAGCATTTTAAAGGGCATGAATAGCCTATTATATATTATCACGTGGCTGTGATGACCTACGGACACAAGCAAAACCCCTAGCTTTAACCATACTTTGTTCATCTATTATATAACCACCTAAGATGATTTATGGATAATAACGAACCATAGCTTGAAACTGAACAGTTTTCACAACTATATACAGCAATTAACTATGCACTCAAAATCTATTGCTTGTATTAACTTTTAACATGACATGCATTTAAATTGTTAATAACCCTTTGATTGTTAATAACCCTTTGACATAAAATTTAACATGCAAACCCCCAATATTTTTAAAGTGTTATAGTGCATATGACAGCCAGATAAAAATTGTAATATCAATTACATATTCATGAAACAGCCTGAAGTTGAAAACAGAAATGCACAGGAATATTTGTATGCTTTCCTACATGTTTAAATAATGACAAATAAAATATTAAAGTACTGACCTGCTCAGGCTCCACATGGCAAAACATGGAAATCTTTTCCTTCACTGCCATTTCTATAGGTTTTGCACTTCTGCAGACAATCTGTCATAACAGAAGGAAAAATCTTAAATATTTACTAGGCAAACCAATATAAGATTTTCAACACTGTTCATGGAGAAATTAATCTCCTTTGGAAACATAGCACAAACAAATGTGCCTTTTTCCCCCCTCTTTTGGAGACCTACAATATATCATAGCTCACAAGTATCTGCTAACAAGGCAGAAATAAATTAGTCACTTGTCCATACTGACCCATTTTATTAATCTTTCTTTGGCATTTTCTGTAATACTGCTTCTTCGTGTTCTCCTTTCTTGTAGCTACCATTGCAATACTCCTCATCTCAAGTCCAGCAGCTTTGTAAGTATTAATACGATGAAGCAAAAGAAATACTGTGATCTCATCAGCTACATTCAGAGCAATAATACTTAGCTTATATGCATGTTTTCTACTATTTCAGTACTTCAGCCCCTTTTTGTAATTCTTAATTTGCACATCATGATAAAAAGAAGGAGGTTGAAGATGAGAAAACTATTTCATAATTTTGTGGGGTTTTTCCTGGTGCAATTATTCTGCTATTATTTTGCTGATATATGTAAAACTTGGGATTTTTAGAAAATGTTCATAATTCTTACCAATAAAGAAAATAAGTATGTGTTTTTGTGTTTGTCAGAAGGGGTTCTTTTGCATTACGTAACTTCGGGCAACGAGCTCAAAATGCAGAACTACTCTACTACCTTAAGTTACTTTGAATCCTGAAAGCATAACAGAAGGTAGGATGATCCTGTTAAAAGATTAATTAATTATTTTCCCCATCTTTCCAGCAAATGCAACTACTTAACGCATTAAGCTCGTTTTTGTTCAGAAACGTGCAGCTGATCTTTGACCACCTTGACAGAATGCAGCTTAGCTATACTGATACTGATGAAGTCTAATTAACTTCCCCTATCCTTGTAAGAAATTCTAGAAACAGGAAAACAATGCCAAGTATAAGGGAACATTAGTGCACATTCTAGTAATCAAAAAATAACTATGAAACAATTTGTACATTCTATTCAATTAAGCACAACTTATACTTAAAAATTGGGTACTGTTTGAAGACATAATTCATAAACCTTGATAGTATGAGCACATGATTAAATCCACTTTGAAAACTATCATCCATCTTGCTGAGACAAATGAAGCCTTTCAGTTCTTAAAAGGGTCTTATAAGAAAGATGGGGACAGAGTTTTTAGTAGGGCCTGTTGCAATAGGACAAGGGATAATGGTTTTAAACTAAAAGAGGGTAGATTCAGACAAGACACAAGGAAGAAAAATTTTAAGACAAGGATGGTGAAACACTGGCACAGGTTGTCCAGAGAGGTGGTAGATGCCCCATCCTCAGAAACATTCAAGGTCAGGTTGGACGGGGCTCTGAGCAACCTGATCTAGCTGAAGATGTCCCTGCCCACTGCAGGGGGGTGGACTACATCACCTCTAAAGGTCTTTTCCAACCCAAACTATTCTGTGAAAGAAATTGATGAACATTACTTTGAAGATTCACCCACACATTTTATATTTCCAAACAGGATTATTTTTTAAAGGCTGCACTTCAAAGGTAAGATTGCTGTTTCTTAATTATGCATAAAAACAAATTTTGGAGAGAATGTTAGAAGCCTAAAGCATTCTAGGTCTTCCCACAAAGTGAACTGAGACTTTAGATTATTTTTAGCAGTGCAGAATGATTTTTCTGCAAAGATCCCTTTAGAAGAACATAGCTACAGTCCCAAGATATTACAAGGAGCTAGTTGAATTAAGTTAATTTAGAGCGGATTTGAGTAATTTGATTTCCTGTGGCTTTAGTGAAGCAGTGCACCACATATGCTGCATTTCTTCTAAAACTCATCTCTCATGGGATACTAAGGCTTAGTCTTTGAACACAGGTTATGCAAGGACACTTCTAGATGACCTATAAATAAAAAAAAAAGTGTATTTATTGACTCACCAAATCTGGAGACAAGCCTAGACCCCTCAGTGCTCGAACACTGTTCTGTGTTGGTTTTGTCTTCTGTTCACCAGTGGCATTAGGCTGGAAAGACATTATTTTGAAAGCTCAAATAGCATCTATTATCTGCTAACAGAGCAGTTACAGGTTCAAAGAGAAAAGTAATAATACTTGCAGGAAGTAAATGTATCCAAACTGAGCCACAATATGCCAGAAATGGCACCACTGTTATTACTTATATAAGAAATTCTGTGAAGAAACCACATGGCCCTAATTCAAGTCAGGTTTATTTTGTTTTTTTGAGTTGGTTTTTTTTTGGTTTTTTTTGTTTTTTTCTGTCAGAGAAAGAGTTTCAATATAACTGACTCAGATAGAAGAAAAAGAGTATTCCAAAAGTTGGATTTCACTAATAAATGGAGAGTGTCCAACATAGCACATACCCTCCAGTGACTGGAAATAATCAGATGTAGAAAATAATTCTGTTCTCAAATACACAGAATCAATCCTACCAATTGCTGATCAATCCTCTAATCCATAGCTGCCATGGTTAACAATTCTCTTTTTATCCATACAAGGTGCAATCATATCATCACTACCGACCTTTGCTTACCAAAATCTCAGTTACCTCTTAAAAGAACAAGAAAACCTAATTGTGAAGTAAAATTTAGAGTTCAAATGAAAAAATGCTTTTAGTCCTGGACAAAAAGTGGTAGTGGTCTTGACTGGAAGATCACTGTACATCAAGGAGTTAGTGATGGCCATTAGAGTTCAGCTCAGGCGGCCCAGGTCTGTGTTGTGCTGCACAAATCCCTTGGACACAGGACAATCTCCACCAGCTCCTTGTCACAGGGGAACCCACAGGCAGCTCCCACTCAGCACCCGTGATTAGGCCACCCGCGTGGCCTTGCCTTTATCTAGGGATGCAGCAAGAAGTTCTCCTGAGAACATCCTTTCAGGTTTGACAGTAAAAATAGCACAGTTGTTTCCTTGTAAGAAAATTATCTATTAGCTCAAATGACTGCAAGGGGAGAATCTCTTCTATGGATGTGGTCTGCCCAGCACACTGCACGGTGGGGCCTTTCAGTGCTACACCACATCGCCCGAAAGGAAGTAGGATAACTTATACCATTCTCTCCTTACAGTGCTAGCTCTAACAAATAGGATTTAAATGATACCTTAGAAAGTCTGAGGGCCTTTCTTACCGGGTTCATAATGCACCAGCACCTTCCAATGCAAAGCACAACTATATTTAGCCTTCTAGATAGATTAGTGTTGCTAAGGGGTTTTTTTGGTAACTTATAACATTAAAACAGATTCTCACATGAATAAAGTAATTATCAAGGCCTTTATGTACCCCAGTGTGGCTGGGTTTCAAACTCTGTCTCTAAAACATTCCAGCATGAAAGGGTTAATGGGAGAACTAAACAAATATAAATCTCAATACAGAGTAAAATCTATTTTATTTCTTTTAATAACTTACCTGTGGTACTAGACTAACGTGAATATTACAGAAGTTTTCTCTTTTTGCTTTGAACTGAAACTGTCTAAATGCTTCAACAAATGGCATTCCTTCAATGTCTCCAATGGTTCCACCCAGCTGAAAAAGAAAGTTTGGGTCTGTCAAACTTCTTTTTTGCCAAAAGCAAAAACTGGAAGAAAAAAGCAGTTTAGTTCTTACATACTCAAGATGTTTTCTGAAATTCTTATGTTAACAAACCTGACAATCGAAATTTGCAGGCATACTCTGCAAAGAACCCTCATCTCTTCTGCACGGGTTTTTTTCTGTGGAAAATAAAACAATTTTCCAGCTTTGTTATATCCACTTTCCACCAAACACATAAGCTTCCCATGGGAAGACGTGTGGTGCTACTGAATAATGCAGGCTTTCACACTGCCTTCAAAGTGGTGAACAAGTAATCAACAGTTAAGCTGATGTGAAGGCTTTTGTACAGAAAAGCTTTATTTCCTGTCCATCACATTAATGAGCAGTTTTGACCAACAAGATACAGACATTTAGCAATATTATCATAGCTTTCCAACATCAATAAATGCCATATGGACAACATGAAATAATATTTCACATTATAAAAGTCTTTAAATATTTATTCCAAGACCAAGTCCATTTATAAAGACAGAAATGATATGTCTTTCAAAGACATAAAGAGCTGTAGTAGACTGAGCACTCAACAGAGCAGTGTTTAGCATGTAACTCTTATGAAGCCGTTGTATTATAGAATGATCTTTCTGTGCCACCAAGTGGTTTTTGACAGAATTGCATATTTGTGTTCACCCAGTACCAGAAAACTTCCGCCAACTACATTTATATGTGACACACATATTCAGTCTAACTCCTTCAGGATTTTGCCATGGAAAAAAATTACAATTATCACTGAAGTTCTGAAGAAAAGTATTTTTATCAGGCTGGAGCTATTAGAAAAAAAAACAAAACAACACCTTACATGGAGGAAACAGAAAATTGAGCTTGAAGTTAAAGGACTGACAAGCCCATCATTCATTCATGTTCTTGTGCAACTTCTGTATTTACTGTTTTTACATCTATTTTAAATGAAATGTCTGACTCTCACCGTGCACATCACAAAAAAAGATCTATAGTTATACCATTAAGTATATTTTAATCAAGGCAGATTATTCTGCATAAGAAACACTGAGCAATTCTGTGGCTTGGGTCTCAAAGTTTATCACACTACTGATTACGGTGGTCACTTCTGGCATTAAATCTATGACAAACTCTTCTGTCAAATTCTCAGGTACAATCTTTTTCTGCATTTCCCACTGTAATAGTAATACTAGCAACTACTGACTGCCTTTCCTCCAGTTGTCTCAATGCCCTACTAAGAATAAGTAAAACTCGTTGTTTCCATTGTATCAGATCAGAAGGTTAACTGATTACCGAAGTTGCCTCAGATCTTAAAAATAACACCAGAAAGTGGGAAACTAAGCTACAAGTGTTTAAATAAATTCCTTTAGACATGACCACAAGCAAAAAGATGAATATATGAAGTCACATGGCAAGCTAGAATTTTATACGCTCTCCTACTGACCATAGGAGATTCCAGGTATTACACGAGTTTTCTCAGTACTATTAAGAGTATAAAGCTTCAGTCAAGTGTCTGTATCTTGGAACAGATACTTCACATTACAGTAACTGGCTGCTTTAATTTTATAAATTAATAAATTCTTAAGCACCTCAGTTTCAGCAGCATTCTAGAAGGGGTTTAGTCAAGTAAACAGAAGCAGCAGGGGTAACACCATGCCTATCATTTTCATAACAAACCAAAGAATACAAAACACATCTTTGCATTGCTGCTCTCTGTAAAACTTCAGTCTGACCTTTTTACAGTAAGTAGCAAAGAGAAAGCAAACTAGGTCTTTGTGTTCACTGTAGACATACATCCTAAAAGGTTTTATACTTGCCTCAATTACACAAATTTGTGGCTCTTTTCTGTCATCATCCACCGGAACTTTTGCCTGATTCATTACCCATTCCTGAACTGCATCAGTGATGTGTGGAACAACTACAAAACAAAACCAAATGCAGCAAGCATATCTTACTTCAGGCCTACATACCAGTTTTTGCATGCAAAAGGGGGAAAATAAGCAGAAAGTCAAAAAGGAAACTACTAGCTCCTTTTTCTGTTCCTCCTTTCTTTGAACCCAGAAGTACAGCATTACAGGAATATGCTCCTATCTCTTGGGAGAGAGAAAGGAATAAGATGATACAGCAAATAGCAGCTTGTTCTAACCGATCACTCTTTTGTGAAGACTGAATGGAATAGTATCCCACAGAATTAAAAAATATCACCTTGAACGGTTTTTCCCAGGTAATCACCATGTCTTTCTTTATTAATGACATGCTGATATATCTTTCCAGTGGTGATGTTGTTATCTTTATAGAGATTGATGTCCAAAAATCTTTCATAATTTCCCAAATCTAAGTCAACTTCTCCACCATCGTTCAATACAAAAACTTCACCTGAAAAAAGAAAGTGAAAACAGACAGAAAAGCAATAAAATAATCAGAACTTATTAAACATACA